GGTGTACTAACTGTAGCACTATACTAACCAGCCTCTGTATATATCTTAACTAGAAGTTTATTTAGTTGTAGTGTTGTAGTTGGATAGCCGCACCTGAGTTAACAAGCTGACAAGGGAGAAAAGAGCCAAGAACACGCTACATGCACAGCGTAATGTCTCCACATGCTCCGAAAGGAAGTATATGAGTATCATTATGCAGAGGAGAATTTCGATGACTGGTGTGAGACACTCAGAAAGTGGGAGCTCGTGTTCTCAATGGAATTGATGGTTTTCTCGTTGATCCTTCAGAGAGTTTAACTCTTCTTTGCAACACAAAATCCATCGCACATGCTGAGCTTGTAAGAACTCACTTTGAGAAAGCTCAAGTTGCCTTCAGAGACTTGTTCAGTGGTCTGGGTAATTAGGCTTCCTTTTTTAGGCCTCATGGTTCCTTTCTTGGGTATTCATCGTCTCCAAAGACATCAATGACCTTTGGGCAATATGCTGTATAAAAGATCCAGACATATTTATCAAAGTTTGAGCGAACAAACATCGTTTTTGATTTTGAGTGACGGACAAAACTGGATTGGTTTTCTGAGTGACTCTGTGTTTCGACTATGGCGTAGTTGTGGCCAAAGAAGATCAGACTCTTTCAGACATACCCATTAGCCATGAAGGCTTAAGTCGTTGCAACCACGAAGAAGCTGTCTCCAGAATCTTTACACATGCTCTTCATATAGCCAATCAACAGATGAAGTCTGTGTTGATTAGGACATGCGACACTTATAATCTTGTTACAGTCAGTGTTTTTGCAACTCTTCAGGATGCAAGCTTAGACATTATTTGGGTAGAATTTAGCCAGTCAATTAGATGGTTGCCAGTTTAGGATAGGGTGGTGAATCTTGGCCCAGAGAAATCCAGGGGCATGCTGTTGTTTCACGCCTTCACTGGCTGTTATGTGTCAGCTGTTCGTGGTAAGGGCAAGAAAACTGTATGGCAGGGTTTGCCCACCTTGTCAATACCCACCTATCACAGACAATGCAGACCTCGGTATCTTTGAGAAGTATGTCATCACCATGTATGACAAGCACAGTACTACAGGCAAGGTTAATGAAGTAAGACTGGAATTGTTTGCTCGGAAGAAAAGGTCTTATGATGCCATTTCACCGTCCAGTGTATCCCTCGTTCAGCATGTGAAACGTCTGTCTTCCAAGCTGCCTGCACATGGGGCCAGGCAACAATGTGCAAAATGCACATTGAAAGCCCAGCCAACTGGGGCTGGCAAAAAAGATGGTGAGGTCTGGCAAGTTCTCTGGACAACCTTTCCACCCATTGCTTAGACTTGTGAGCAGTTGACAAAATACGGCTGCAAGACTGAATGCCAGGACGATGCAAATGCTATCGCTTCAGACTGAAATGTCCTCAAATCTAAGGAATAAAAGAACCATTTTTTTCACATTGTTTGTAAGACATAGAATCGAAGTTAACATTACACTATACATCGGCAAAGTGTAATCCCCGTTGTATCATCATAATATTTTTAAAAATTTGATTTCCTAAAGGCAATACTGGGGTTCTCCAACTCAAAAGCATGTATTTCGATGAACAGACCAACAAAATAGGATATTCAATCAAAATCTGGTTCAAACACCCTTTAAAACTCTTGTTTGTATCACCAAGTGAAAGATTGTCTCAGCCATCTGCCCCACTATGTGGTGAGTGTGCGAGTCTGCGTGTTCAGGTTCACGTGTGTCATAACCTATATGTATACATTTGACTTTTTGCGAAATAATGAGGCTATTGTGATGTAATATGAGCTTGATCATTACCATCATTTCTTTATGTTCGGTTATATATGCTTTTTGTGATGATATTCGCATCTATCTTTATAACCTGTATCCCGCACTGGTGCAATACACCGGAAACTAGATATGAGCATTTCTACGTATAGCGACGACAGCCACTTTCACAGCCTCTGTTAATCTTATGACAGACTGAACAAGCATGTAAGACATGCGATGGAGGAAGCTATTATGATAAGCTGAAGGAACCCAAACATGGGAAGCCGGAATGAGACGCAGGCTGAACAACTATTCAGTGCCCGGTTATCGTGAGGAATTTGATATGTCAAAGCTACAAATTATTTGTTATAAGCGACTCTAAACTGTGAACAGATATAGCACTAGTAAAGACTATAATATTTAGATGATATTATTAGAAATCCCTTTTAATCACAGTACTCAATTATATAACGCATATGCACCGAGAATGGAATCAAAATATGCGATGTTAAGGAGAGACAATGGCTGCTACAGCACGTAGCAGACTCTGTTGTTATTCTGTAGTACACTGGAATATTTACTTATGCCTCTGCATCCGGCTTGAAAACGTTTTATATCAACTGATTTGTATCTATAGTACGAGACGTGGCGACCCAATATTTGAGGGACCTTGCTTTACATAATATTACCTAGACTCTCACGACACTCAGCTGTTTGAGGGATTAATTTAAAAAAACATA